GGTATCTGGAGTCTTATCTGATTCAATAACTGTAAAAGAGTGCATTGATACCAGAGGAGGTTCTTTGATCACATTAAGGGTGTGTGTGTGTTTCTGTTTTATTCCGCTGAAAACATAAGAACGCTGGGGAAAGTATGATGTCAAATATTGTGTATCTGAAGCTTGGATTTTCACATTTTATTTATAAATCTCCTGTCAGTTCTGTTACACAATATTGAGAGTTCCCCACAGCCTGTTTTGACAGTGCTGTATCACATCCTCTGTAGCTCTAAAGCAGCGTTATTTAAACTAATATTCACATAAGGTAATCAGTTATCATAGCTAATGCTTAAGACTTGAGGCAGAATACTTACGTTTTTAACTGGGAGTGGGGAAATTGAATAATTAGGGCATTTTACAGGCGAAGGAGGTCTGTTAAAGAGGATTATAAATGGTGGTTTAGGGACTGTGCTTAAAGCCTTCGCTGTGCTAATTTAAATCAGTTTTATTCATATCTTGTAACAGCCTTTAGTTTTAAAAAGGGTGCTGCTACTTCAAGATTAAAGAGAAGAGAAAATAAGAGAAGTTTGCTTCATTTAAGAATATAAGCACAGAATGTAAAAAGAAGATAAGGGATAATTTAAAGCATTACAAAAAGATTATAGTGCCAATTCACAACACATGTCGTCTCAAGGCACTTTACAGTTCACCAGATCATACAGTCAAATTGATTCAAAGTTTTCTATCTAAGGAAAACCAGTTGATTGCATCGACTCATTGGCTCAAATGCAATCCCTCACCCTAAGGATGCTTTTAGCGACAGTGGAGAGGAAAAACTCCCTATTAACAGGAAGAAGCCTCCAGCAGAACCAGGCTCAGTGTGAGCGGCCATCTGCTGAGGCCGACTGGGGTTCAAGGAGACAGAAGCAGAGATACAAAAAGCAACTGTGAACACACAGCCAGGCAGACGAGCTCGGAGCCAGCTCCCATGTCAGAGGACGAAGAGAGCACATACAACCAGTCACAGTCAGAAAAACAGGACTACACTGAAAAACAGGCTGATCTCCAACAGCTATAAACAAAGGTGTTGATGGCAGCAGCACAGCTGGAGTCACAGCTGAACAGGAAGAGACGAGGCAAAGCTACTATGAGAAAAAGCAGAGAGAGAAGAACATTAGAGATTGAACTAATAGATTCTTCAGAGTGGGATAATAGAGATAGAATGAAGCAGAATGATGAAATAGGGGTCCCTATGTCCTCCAGCAGTCTAAGCCTATAGCAGCATAACTATAGAAATAGCTCAGGATATGAGATTGAACAAAATGTTCAACCAAGTAGGAAATCTAGGAGTTAAAAAGTAACATTAAAGCACATGTAGGTATATTTGTGCATAAAAAAACAACAATTTTCAATAAATCTATAACACATAAAAAAACATATAAAGCTTGTTTGGAGCAGACATGGTGATAAACCCTTTTATTTATTTGTTAGGGCTCTTTGTTTAAATATGAAAGCGCAGTAAGTGTTCCTGGTTGTGTTACTTTTTACATAGACCTCTTCCTCCATAGTATGATAACTAGGAAATCTAGTAAATCTTATCTGCCATTATTTATCTTGTATTATAAACCCACTAATACGTATATATTCCTTTTCCTAACATTCCTGTATATTCTGTATAATCTGTATAATCTGTGCATGTAGCTCCCATATTCATATTTACATTTATACACAACTTTTTACAGTCCCTAACTATTACTTTTTGCGTGTACATACACCTGTAATAATATTTATATCCTGTATAGCACTTCTGGATAGATGCAAACCACATTTCGTTGCTTTGTATTCGTGACAGTGCAATGACAATAAAGTTTAATTCTAATTCTAGGAAAAGAAACGGCTGTGTTTGGAGGGATTATTTCTTACTAAAGTAGAGTCCTTGTCTATTGTGATCTATATATTTAACTTCATATGTCTTCTCTTTGGGCGTATAAGTTACGGTAAACTATGATTATTTTCTATCATAATATTAACACATCTGTTTTAGAGTTATTTATATCCAATGCCTCAAAGCATCAATCAATGAATTATTACAGTAATATAATGATTAGTTATCAACACATTAATTAACAAACATGTAAACTAACTGTTCAACTTTATCAAAGTGTGTCTCTCTCTCATTAGAAGCGTAAATAGGGTTCCTGCAGCAAAAGCTTGGAAGAAATCAGATATCTACGGGTCACTCGCATGTCAGAGTGTTTTTAGTTCCATCTTACTTGGAAAATGTTATCAGACCAAAACCGAAAGCACAATTACTATTGTTTCAAATCAGTTTCTTTGCACTTTCAGAGAATATTCAAAGACATGCTTGCAGACATCAACGGCTGGAAACGTTTTACTCGAACTCTAGGAAAAGGCTGCGTTATGTTAAGTTCAACCTTAGCAGAAAAGGATCACCACTGATAGATGAGTATTTGGACATTTGTTCATGTGCTTTTACAGTTCAGGAAATGTTTTAGATGTTTTATCAAAATGCATTTATAACCATTGGGTCTCGTTAGTCTCAAGAGAACAGGAGTGCAAACGTTGTTTAGTTCAGACTAATGTCATCTTAAGGTTGTTTTTTTCATTTATTGTCAAAGTCAGAAGCTATGCAATAGACCTCCAAACCCCATTTGGTCTTTAGATAGTGGCTGGTTAAAGTGGTAGGTTTCCCATCCTGCAAATTGGAAGCCTGAGTTTGTATCCCAGCTCGTGGGAATTAGCTGCCAGGCAAGACCCTTCACAGTTTAAACCCCACTCCCACGGAATGCCACTCTGGGTCCCTCAGCAAGACGCTTAACCCCTTCAATGCTCCCTGGGTGCTGTTCAATGGCAGCCCACTGCTCCCCAAAGGGATGGGTTAAATGCAGAGAGGAAATTTCATTGCTCTGTACTAGGGATGCACGATATTGGTATTTTGCCCGATATCCAATATGCCGATATTTTAAAACTCATGTAGCCGATAACCGATATCGATACCGATGTTAAAGCTGGACAAAAATAAGTAGTCATTGAAAATAGCAGTTTTGTTATCCATTTCTGACACTTTGACAAATAATATACTCAAATATATTTTCATATGCTGATATCAAATTGATTTTTAAAAACGTGGTATCGATCTATTTTATTTTCAAAATCTCATGAAATTTCATCGTTCTGCTACAAACTCTCGTGATATTTTGCAAATTCTTGTGAGATTTTGTTAGTAAAATAGATCGATACCGCGTCAATATATCAACATATAAAAATATGGCAAAATTTCGTGAATTTTGGGGGGATTTCGTAGCATAACGATGACATATAGCAATATTTCATTAGTAAAAGAGATTGATATGGTGTTTTTAAATGGCAATATATCAGCATATGAAGATATTGTGATATTTTAATGCATCAATATTTTTGCCCTTGTCTTTAGAAGTTTTTAAGTCTGTAAAAAAGACATTTTTGAGGAAGAAGTAGTATTTTTTTTTTTTAGACTTTAGAAACTCAGAAGCTGATCAAATATCGGGTTAAATATCGGTGGGGTGGCCGATGTCCGATATTCAGTTTTAAGGCCGATACAGGCCGATACCGATAGGGGGCCGATTATATCGTGCATCCCTACTCTGTACTCGTGACAGTGTAATGACAATAAAATATTGGGGGAAAAAAGCTTTTCGGGGAGAGGTTAATGGTTTAGCGGCTGTATAGTGCAGAGGTATTTAACTGTCATGCACAAAGTCCTGAATTCAACTGAGTTCTACAGCAAAACCCTCAAACTCTCTCTTGGTAGATCGATCAGATGTTTTTGCTCAGTCACATTCCTTATGTAAACCTTGTAGGGAGCCGATCCAGGAGTGGCGAGGCTGTTGTAGCTGGTTGGCTGATACCTTATTAAAGTGATTTCATGTTTATCTGATGGCAAGGGCGGCAATAGTTTGGACTAAGGCACAGAAATTGGAAGGAGGATGAACAGGAAAAGGGATACAGTTTGATCTGCAGCTTATTGTCCAACAGAACTGGTACTTTATATCTCGCTAATTGAATTGATTATATAGCCTGACCTAAAAAAACAGTGATGCTTTTTGACCTTTCTAACAGATGTAAAGGATGTAAAACTATGTAGATACAATTTGGGCTCCTATTTGTTATTGTGTTTTTCTTCCTCCTCTTCTTATAGAAGTGATTTATTTGTGTGAAACATTGTGAATGGATTTCTCTGTTCACAGCATGAACTATGAACCTACCTTAACTGTTCAAAGAAACAGGCTGGTGGTCTATTTGATTGTCAGCAGGGGTGCCTGTAGTGTATGTGTGTGTGAGGTATGTGAAGGGAAGATGGAATGTGAGTGTCCCTTCAAAGCTTTAGGAAAGACATAGTTTTTAAATCCATTGGTTTTGTATTTAATGGTCTGGTTCAGTGATGCAGTGGGTAGCACTGCTGCCTTGCAGCAAGAAGGTTGTGGTTTCGGTCCCGTTTTTTCTGCATGGAGTTTGCATGTTCTCCCTGAGCATTTATGGGTTCTCTCCAGGTACTCCGGCTTCCTCCCACAGTCCAAAAACATGACTGTTAGGTTAATCGGCTTCTCTGAATTCTCCTTAGGTGTGAGTGTGTGCGTGAACGGTTGTTTGCCTCTGTGTTGCCCTGTGATGGACAGCAGGAGATAGGTGCCAGCACCCCTCACAACCCCACTTGGGATTAAGGGTGTCAGAAAATGGATGGATGTCCCGGTATTGTTTTCCTAATGGAAGTTGGACGAGCAGCTGTGAGTCACTAAATATAAAACAATGAGAACAACATGAAGAAAAGATTGATCTTTTTAGAGTTCTGATAACTTTAGTAAACACTGATACAATAAAATGGTGCATGTCTGGTCAATATGTATCAGCTTGTGTTTTTTGTAGTGACATGACTTTGTTAAAAACAGTTTTTCCAGTTTATACAAACTGATTCCTTTAGGCATTCTTGCTGTGTTTTCATTTGGTGCTCTGCTTTCGTCCAGGTGAAGACGAGCAGCTAGAAAAAGGCATGAGGTCCTTATTATGGATTCCAGCAGACGTGTCCATGTCTGGGGCCACCAGCTGGATGTAGCCGGGGCCCCCGTGCCTGAGCTCCATGCACCTCACACATCACACCTTTGACTTCATGAAGATCCCTGACATCGGTGATGTAATGAATAAATTTGAAGTCCTTGGGATTGTGGGTGAAGGTAAGGATCTTTTTTTTTTTATGTACCGTAGAATAAAGAGAATTAGATTTCTGGTTTCCTTTGAGGCCTGACTTACTTAAATGTTGACCTTTTCTTTCTAATTAGAGACTTTAACACATACAGTAAAATAAAAAAAAGTCATTCAGTTTTTGTAATATAAGTAGAAGATTTATTTTCCTTAAAAATTAACCATTTTCAAGATTATTCCCATTTATTCATCAAAGCAGCCCTCTTTTATTAGCTATTATCTTATCCTGAGCTTACAGTAACCTTTTGGCACTATAATCTTTTAACAAAAAAAAACAGTTTAAGGTGAGATCGCCATACGCTTTTAAAAACACCAAAAAGTAAGTTATTAAGTCGTTTTTTTGTATGACTAAAGGGACACACGTCCGTTGAGGTAATTTCAAGTCTATTTTTTATACAAAATTAACCTCTTACACCCTCAGGGGGTATAAATAAATTTCTGCCTGACAAAAACACACTTTCACTTATAGCCTCACAGCTATTAGATTTAAGAAGAAACTTTTGGTACGTCTGTAAAGGTAAGATGTCATAGAATGGTTTTCTGGTGTCAGCACCATTGTAGCTTTGACCCTGCCTGAAATATTAGGGACAAATTACAAAATATTTTGCATTTTTTGAACCTCGCCAAAATTTTCTTTGAAATAAACATTGCAAAACACTACCAAAATATTATTTATAGCACAAAAAAGTAGTACAGACTTTTAAATCTAAATGTTGTGTAAAAATATACCAAATTTGGACTCAATCAGATGAATCATATTTATTTTAGAATGGTATTAGTGAGAAATTTCTTAGGCGGAGAGGCCATTTTGGTACATTTATCCAAAAATGTCACCAAACTGTGCCAAATGTGTTTTTTACATCAATACTGGGGGTTTGTTAAAATCATGAGGTCACGTAGCAGCTGGACCCGCCGGTGGGTCCGTAGGGTTCTAGGGGTTAAAGTGGTAAACTAAAGGGATAGACAGGATTTGACTTTGGCTATGCTGATCTGACAGAACCCCGGCTTTGGTGCTCTCTGCCCGGAGTCTTGCTCCAATCTCCTGTCAAAGCTCTGTTTGACTTTCCATAACGAGTAAAGCTCCCTGGCTTGGTTAGTAAATTCCAGGCCTGCCATGCTGGGTTGACACATAAAGGCCTGTTCTGTTTGATGACGCAGTAAAGCAACAAAGGCGGAGCTTGTCTCCCGCCAGGCGACTTGCTAGCGGTAAATTAGGAAGAAAAAAGCTTATGAATGTGGCAACTCTGTCAATAAACCATTTAAGAAGGTCATAAGAAGTTTAATTATATATTTTGCGCAATACACCAATGTTACAAAAAATATGGAGAGGAAGATACTCTGATTAAATGAAAAGTTGAATCTTTTTGGTTAACATCTGGATAACTACAGTAGTAGCCATTTAAAATGTCCCCACTTTCCTAGATGGGCCCTTGGTTGGTCCCATCTAAGAATGCCCTACAATTTCTTTTTAAACATCATTATTTGTACTAAAACATTTTTTCTGTCATTATTTGTTGACATTAAGATCTGAAGAGAACTGTCATCTCCTGATCAGACACTGCAATTCATTGAAAGGATGGCGTCAGAGTAAAAAAATATATTTAAGACAGGACAGCACAAAACAAAAGGCTCTAACCAGAGTAGAAAAAGAAGTGGGAGGCCGGGTTGCACAACTGAGCAAGAAGATAAGTACATTAGAGTCTCTAGTTTGAGAAACAGACGCCTCATATGTCCCCAACTGGCATCTTCATTAAATAGTACCCGCAGTAGCCTGCTTGTGCTGTAGGATATCTTCAATTTCTTAGCAATTTCTCGCATGGAATCGCCTTCATTTCTAAGAACAAGAACAGACTGTCGAGTTTCAGATGACAGTTATCTTTTTCTGGTCATTTTAGCGTTTAATTGACCCCACAAATGTGATGCTCCAGAAACTCAATCTGCTCAAAGGAAGGTCAGTTTTGTAGCTTCTGTAACAAGCTAAACTGTTTTCAGATGTGTGAACATGATTGCACAAGGGTTTTCTAATATTCAATTAGCATCCTGAGCCAATGAGCAAACACATTGTACCATTAGAACACTGGAGTGATAGTTGCTAGAAATGGGCCTCTATACACCTATGTAGATATTGCACCAAAAACCAGACATTTGCAGCTAGTATAGTCATTTACCACATTAGCAATGTATAGAGTGTATTTATTTAAAGTTAAGACTAGTTTAAAGTTATCTTCATTGAAAAGTACAGTGCTTTTCCTTCAAAAATAAGGACATTTCAATGTGACCCCATACTTTTGAACGGTAGTGTATATATACTGAATTATTGAGCTAAATATCCATTTAGATGTTTAGTGATAAACCCTCCCCCGTTTTTCTTATTAAGCAATTAAACTCTTCAACAATACTTAATACTCACCCACTAGAAAAAATAGCATGTAATAAGAATACATTTAACTCAACTTGAGACACAATGCCTTGGTATCATTACTAGTAGGAATAAAGCTGTGCTTGGTGTTTATGTAATGCAGCCAGCTTTAGGGCTCCATGGCCGGAAAGTTCAGTCCCTCTGAACATCTCCTTCTGTCTCGTGTTTTGCCTCGAGCAGCTCGGTTTGAATAAAGATGCAGCAGCCCTAAAGCGAGGCCACCCACTTGTCCCAGTTTTCCCGCTCCTACACCGACATTTAGAATGTGTGTATAATGTGCCACTAGAGGACACGGGGAAACTTTGAGTTAGACATTTAAAAGCTGAGTGCCTCTCCAGTGATGAGTTGTTCTGGAAGGAACTCAGTGCTTTTAGTGCCACATTAAAATATAAAGCTGTACACGTTTATCAGCCTCTGCCTTCGCACTCATGGTCCCAGTGTTATTGATTTTCCCTATCGATCCTGTGTTCAGTCAATATTGTTAATGATTTTGTGCTAAGTACTCTATGTTTGTTCACCCTAACAATTAAATGCTCTCTTATGTAAGTATCTCCAAAGTCTTTTTTTTTATGAATATGGTGGTTTTGGCAAATAGATAAATAGCTTAGCATCTTTTAGAACATAATTTAAAACAGTTTTTTGATTGGTGTAAACAGGTTACAATGCCATACACAAGCATTTATATCCCTGGAAACTTTTACATTATAAGCACTAAATTGAAATTAGTTTATAATTCAATTAAGTTTAGTTCAATTTGTTTATAAAGCGCCAATTCACAACATATGTCGTCTCAAGGCACTTTATAGAGACGCTACTGTGAGATTGGTTAGGAAAACCGGTTGATTGCATCCAGACATTGATTTGGATGTCATCCTCCTCCTGGATGAGCCACCGAGCATGCATTAGTGACAGTGGAGAGGAAAATTCCCATTTAACAGAAAGAAACCTCCAGCAGAACCAGGCTCAGTGTGGGCGGCCATTTGCAAAGGCCGACTGGGGTTCAAGGAGACAGAAGCAGAGATAGAAAAACAAGCAGTGATACAAAAGACAACTGTCAATCAGATCCACAGGCGGCCCCGTCCAGGCACACAGCCAGGCAGAAGAGCTCCGAGCCAGCTCCCAAGTCAGAGGATGAAGAGAGCACATCCAGCCAGTCACATTCAGAGAAACAGGACTACACTGAAAAACAGGTCGAGCTCCAACATTTATAAACAAATTTGGCAGCAGGACAGCTGATATTTCTCTCCAGGATGGAGTCACAGTTTAACAAAGTTTATAAAGACTTTATCTTAATCATAACCGGAAAATATGTCATGCACTTGGAGCCTTTTTTTCTTTAGTACCCGGAAATACAATCCTATGCAAGCAACTGGCTTTCGAAGTCACCTTAAGTCATCAGCAACCACCTTTGTATCACATAAATTCAGTATAAATCTTTGTGCAGACTTCAGAGGTCTTATTGTAAACATGTATGAACAGCAAAGACCAATGAGCAAAGCAGCTACGTCAGGGAGAAGTTTCTGGAAAAGTTTGGAAAGTAGAAAAAGAATATTCAAAAACTTTCATACAAGCCACATGAAGGACAGTGTTAGCCAACATTGCAGATCATTTTAAACACCCCATCTCCAGGTCAGGATCAGAACAAAAGGAACTAGTATTCGAAGCAGAAATGCAGTTAGATTTAACAAAACATTTAATAAAGACAGAACCACAGAGAACAGTGTCGGCATCTTAGGGACAAACCTCTGGTCTTATGGTTTAGTCCGAACCCAGAGGATGAGGTAGGTTCTAGCCGGGAGGCTGCCAACGATACGCGGTGGGTGCTGCCCAAAGAGTGCCAGACCATGGTCTTTTGGAGATCGGGGAAGATGCAGGAGATCAGAACATAGCACACAAAGGGAGGCAGGATAATCCAGAGGGTTCAGCTAAAGCCAGTGTCAAAGACGTCCTCAGGAGTCAGAGCCAGGAGATCAGAGGTTTGAAGAGGTGCTGGAGGGAAATCCAGGATGGATTAGGGGAACAGTTCCAGTTTTGGTAAACAGGTAGGCAGAAATATGGCTGGAGTTCAAAGACAGGTCAGGCAAACAGGCCAGAACTGGGACCGGCAGGCAGAGAGGTCCAGAGGCAGAACAGGTCAGGATCAGGCAATCAGAAATACACAGGAACACTTCGTTAATCTGGCACTGATGACTGGTCAGAGGGCTGGTTAAATAGAGGTTAAAGCAGGTGGATCAGGTGAAAGGTAATGAGAACTGGGCAGAGCTAGGTAGGTGAATAAAATGAGTAATTGGACCAGTCATCAGTGCCAAGATCATTACACTTCACTGCCGAATGTACTTGTAATATCAACATGGTGTCGGGGGGCTTTCCTTCAGCTTGAATCATTCAGAGATGACATAAAAATGGACCCGGCTTATAACACGGCAGTTCTGCACGGGTGAAAACCAATTATCGTAACCATCTAATCCGACCTACCAAACCAATTCGACTATATGATCCGGGTAAATCATCTCTGGAAAGTGTCTTGTGTTGACTATGTGTTGTGAGTTGGCTGTATATAAATAAACTGAATTGAAATTTTGTTTGAGCTGTTTTGTAAAATTTTATTAAACTCAAATAAACTTGCAGGATAAACTTAGATGCCTCTTTCACATATTTATTTTTCATTTTTGAACACAATGTAACTGATTGGAAAAAAGCAAATAATAGAACCAAAAATTTACTTTATAGTGTGAGAATTTATCAAAGTCATGATGTATTAGGTCCTTCTAGTTTTACCGTTTTAGATCAGACATGGATGAATTGCGTAGAAGCCTTTACTTTATATCAGAGCAGCGTCCAGTTGAGACAGATAACTTCCTGTGTCCTCATTTTACCTGAGAAGGAGGACAGAGCAGTTTGTTATTTGGCTGCTCGGTCCCAGACTTTCTCCTAAACCCTCAGGGAACATGTGTGACTGCGAGGGTCGATAACACCACAACCGCTCCGGCTCTCCAACGCTTGTGTCCTACTTACTGAACAACCTTTTGTTTTATATGTTCAAGATGCTCTTAATTCATGATAAGATGTAAGATTCCAAAGACTTTGCTGATTTTAGAAGCTTTGACTCTTGCCTTGCCAGTTTTAACGGGTAAATTAAGATAGATAAGTGTTTTCTGCAGGTTCAGTTAATGCAAAGACAGTACTGGAAGTTGTTATTTACATGTTTTCCTTCTGTTTTAGGTGCTTATGGTGTTGTTCTGAAGTGCAGACACAAGGTAAGCTCTAAACTTTGATCGTATTTCTGTTGTATATTTCCCATATTTAAAAACTGTTTCAGAAAGATGATGACTGGTTTTATGCTGGGATGCACCAATCTGGACTTTTTGTCCAGGACTCTGATCTGCTGCCCCCCTCTACTACTTCTAGATAGTACAGATAATTTATTTATAGGAACTGGTATTTTTTCCCATTAGGACTGATGAAATACACCAATAGAAAGTTATCTAAGTGAAGAACAGTTCATCTGATGACACCTGAAACATTTAAAGCATAATCATATCTATATCTGACTTTATGCATCAGCCTACATTTTCTTTCTTATTCAAATATTCAAATACAACATAAAGAAGACATGGTTCATTTTGTCTCATGATGTAAAACACCAGTTAAAAATTTTCTTTTTGAATAGTTGGATAATCTATAAAATATATTCCGTCATGTATTTGTGCAATGTCCATTAGTCTACGTGTATACTTTTCTTTTTTTTAAGGCATCACAAAAATCCAGTAGAAGAGATTGTGTCGACAATACGTAGAAGCTACAGAAAAGAAAAACGTGTCACTTTCTCATTTGGTAGTTTCAGATCTAATGTTAATAAAAGACCTTCATATTATTATCCCCGATTAATCCTAATTTTTTTTATTCTTTAATTTGATAAACATAGCTTTATGTTAATAAACTCACAGTTTGTGGGGCTATTTAAAACTTTCAGTTTTTCATAATACAAGGCTTAAGGCTGATTTATACTCAGAAACCAGGTCGTCTAGGTGTGTCACAGTGAATGCAAATGTGACCCCGCCCCTTCCACAGACACTCTGATGCAGCTCTCCGAAATTGTCGGTGACCGCAGACAGGAGGCCTCTGATTGGTCGAATCTACATCCGCTCTAAACTATGCTTATTTCCTCTTTTGTACCTTATCGGTTTGTTTTGTATGTTTGACCGCCATTGTGGAAAACGACTCGTGAAGAAGGACCAGCTAGAAGAGCGAGGTGTGCAAGAATGCTGGGACCTAGGGCTGCAACTAACGATTATTTTGAAAATCGATGAATCGGACGATTATTTTTTCGATTAATCGATGAATCGGACACAAAATATTTTTTTTATATTAACCTCTTTATTCCAAAATAAACATTTTAGACAGAACAAACAAGCACACAAGTACAGGTTTCTCATTAACTGTACTGGTGCAATATGAAAAATAAATGTTTGTTTTAAAACTACGCAAACTTACATGAGAAATGTAGCTGTACATCCACAAAATATAGGGTACTTTGTTTCATAAAGCGCAAAAAAAGACATTTTTGTTTTTAAAAGCCCCTAAGGGGTTCAAACAATAGGCCCCCCCATTTCAACAAATGAGTTTTTTTTAGACTAGAAGAGTTCTGCCTTTTAAGACAGGAAAGTATAGCAGTTAAAGTTGCTACTTAAGAAAATACTTAACCATAGAGATAAAAATAGCCCTGTGATTCTAATTATAAATTGTATTTGGAATAAAAATGAGAGAACTAGGGGTGGTAAAAAAACACATCCTCCAAAGACAGATATTTACATGGGAATGTGGCAGATAATTAATTGACATATTACTGATCTTGCTGGATTTTATTCTGCTTTACTTCCATAAATTGCAGGATCTTTACTTTCTTTGCCAGAAGATTTAAACTTTAAAAGCCTTGCCCTCATAATTTGCAAATTTATTTATTTATAAAGAAAATATAAACGCTGCTTAAGCTAATTCAAATGAAATTAAAAGTAAAATAAGAAGCCAACCTTATCACTGTCTGTAACCTACTAACAAGCTAAGGAAAGCATCAGATGAGCTATCTGAGAAACTAACTTACGTTTCCCCACTTTAAAATGAAACAAACATGGTTACTCATCCTGCTGATCAGCTCTCTTCACTGCCATCGAAGGCTCCAACGTGTTTTCTTTTCAGGTGCTGCGTCATAACAGTGGTGCTTCCGTGCCATGTTCATTTGTTTTTTACAAAAGTTGCATGTTACGACTTTTTTCACTTTACAAAGCGCAGGCTATTTTAATTATTGTGATCAATTTGCGCCGTCAATCCCGGCGCATGCGCGCTTCATTTGCAGTCTGGACGCTGAGGGTAAACTCCTCACTAAAATCCTGCGGCTCTGACTGCAGCGCTGAGAGGGATTCTTGTGGGAGAGGGAGAAAGGCGTTGGGATGGGGGAGGCGCCCCACGGCAGCAGCTGCCGCTGGAGGAGAAGAGTAGGAACGATACATGCTTTCACGTAAGAGTCTCCAAAAGCCGCCAGTGACACCGTAAAAAGTCGCCAGATTTGTCGCTAGTCGCTTTTTAAAAAAATAGTCGCTGGAGGGGTCTGAAAAGTCGCTGAGTTGGCAACACTGCAACTGCGGCGCTGACTCGCTCCGCCATATTTTTTTTTCTTCCCCGGGATGACGGCGGCGGCGGATGACGCATTAATCGCGCGACACAACTAATCGATGATTAAATTCGTTGCCAACGCTTTTAAACGTCGATTTTTATCGATTTTATCGATTCGTTGTTGCAGCCCTACTGGGACCCCTTATCTGCGACAAGCTCACTGCGACACACTGCTGCGGGAGGATAACCAGCCCTTTAGTTGTTTGATTGGTTGTTGAAAGGGAGCCAGCAGTTGTTCTTCCATTTGTTTTATGGATATGAATTAACCTATGCTCACACTTTAAGTGCTAAGCTAATCCTGTCACATTTACTTTCTGGTCTCATATAATTTCTTTAAAATGTGCTTCATGAAATATTTTTGTGCTTTTCCAGTTACTGTTGGGCAAACAATACTTTCAGTCAAACAAACTTTTTATTGAATGGCATGAATATGGTTTCAGCTGCTCTCTTCTGGGACACCTCCACTCCTCCTAATCAGCTGTCAGTGATAACTAAGTGGCCACTAGTTGTCCCAAAAGTTACCGTAACACTAGTAGCTAAATGACATCACTTTTTTGCATTTTTCCCAGTCTCCATGGTGTAAAATCGATAATAATCTATTTTCATTGACTAAGCTTTTTTTTCTTCTTGTCATTCTTTCAAGTTGGGCTACGGTATATAACCTTGAACTCAATGTTATTCCTTGAAAATTCAAACTTGGAAGTCCAGTGGATTGTGTTTTAACCTTTTTTGTAATGACTATGACCTGGATGATGAGAATGTACACCAGCATGTTACAGTGGAAGCTCTTGCTGTATTTAGGAGGTATTGCTGCAAGAAGACTGGCCCTCCTGTGAGTGCTTTGGGGCAAAGGAGCCACTTCTCTTACTTACTTGGTTTTACTCAAAACTGGTAGATGAAGTTCAAAAGACTGCTTCATGGATTCAAGGCAACTTTATTTGTATAGCATAATTTAGTACATTGGCAATTCACTAATCTTTAATAATTAAAGGCAAAGGTATTGTTATAGTATTGGAAAAATCAAAATTGCAAGAAAGTCCAAATTAAAAAGCATGAAAATTAAATGTCATTATATTCTGTTAGGAAAATTATCATTGATGATGTGTGAGTTTATTACACCTTAATATTAACTGCCTGTTGCATGTCAGAACTGATGTTTTCCACAGTAGTTTATCTAATTAAGACGGTTCCTCTGTCTGGATATACAGTTATAATCTTCATTCTGTACGTGGCAAAGATTTGGGAATGGACTGAGACCGACGTCCTTGCATCTTGATTCATATGTCGTAGCTAATATACACAACCGAAAGAAATCAGAGTCATTTCCTTTCCCATTGAGTTCCTTCCGGGTTCTGTGTTCACGGGGATGGACGTCTGTGTTTTCGGCAGGCGTAGAGCTAACAGAACTGGCAGCGTTGCGAGGCAAGGGCTCAAACATGTACGGCTGGAAGCCTTCTACACCAAACCAAGCTTCTGCCGCCCTGGTGTCCTCTTCCACAACATCTTTGTCCACACTTTCCTCCTCTAAATAAAAATGTATAACAGAGGAGACTCATCCATGACCTCCGACACAAAACTCTCCTCTTGCATGTTTCCTCTGTCCATAGCGTTCCTTGACAGTGTCGTTTCTAAGTCACCAATTTAGTGCTACTTGGTCCCAATGGATTTTCCCATTGGGAACCTGCTAGCACTAAGTTGCCAACTGGTTAGCAGGATGCTTCCAATAAACTGGCCACAACCAAACTTGTTTGGGAACCTTCCACCATAACAATCCCGCCCCCTTGATAATCGACCAATCACATTCACTTTATTCACTCGTGTAAAGTCGGGCACCACTCGGGAGAATTGCAACGGAAATGCAACGGTTGGAACAGCCGCTTCCCTACAACTTTAACTGTTAATCGTGGCCACTTCCTAAAAAGTGAGCCCAGGGGTATGAAGCTGCTTCTGTAATTCTAAGCAACTTCTATGATCAGAGTAAGATTACAATTTCTATTAGAATCAGTTGTCATGTCTCCTGGTTATTTATAATTTATGAAGTGTATTAATTATCTATCTATCCATCCATCCGTCCGTCCATCCATCCATCCATCCATCCATCCATCCATCCATCCATCCATCCATCCATCCATCCATCCATCTATCCAGTGTGTCCGTAGTGTGTCCGGGCTCTCCCTTAGAGATAGGGTGAGGAGCTTGGTCACCCGGGGGGAACTCAGAGTAGAGCCACTGCTCCTCCAGATCGAGAGGAGCCAGTTGAGGTGGCTCAGGCATCTGATTAGGATACCTCCTGGACGTCTCCCTGGTTAGGTGTTCCAGGCTAGTCCTACCAGGAGGAGGCCCAAGGGGGAGACTTAGGACATGCTGGAGGGACTATGTTTCTCTGCTGGCCTGGGAGCGCCTTGGGATCCCCCCGGAGGAGCTGGCCAAAGTGGCTGGAGAGAGGGACGTCTGGGCATCCCTACTGAAGCTGCTACCCCCGCAACCCGACCCCGGATAAGTGGAAAAAGATGGATGGATGGATGGATGGATGGATGGATGGATGGATGGATGGATGGATGGACAGAAGTTATGAAGTGTTATTTAA